CGAATATCTCAAAAACGGCGGCGCGGAGCGACGCCGTTTTTGGTACACCTTATCATACATCAATTCTACACATGTTATGAAAATTTCAGACCAAGGTCATTCAAGGTCAGGTCACCAGGTCACTTGAAGTGACCTCACCTCATAAAAACTTTCAATGTTTGTCATAGCTACACCGAGTGACTGATCGCTTTGAAACTTTCAGCGATTGCTAAGAGCAATAGCATGTACAAAATGTATATCTCAGAATTTTGATATCTATGACCTAAGGTCAGGTCAATTTTGCGACCTCCCCATTATAAGTCAATGGGAGAAAATTTAAATGCGCCTCTTTTGGACGAAAGACATTATAAACACTCCCAAACACCGAATTACAAGTGGTTTAGACACACTGAACATGAAAATGGTGTCCGTGACCCTTGTTTATGCCCTGAGGTCATCTTAGGTCACGAATGGTATCTAACAGTTTTTCGCAAATAACTTTTGATAGAGGCATGCTAGAGCGATGAAAACGCCTTAGATGTGTTCAGCTCGACGATACGGATCGACTGATATGCAACATGACCCTTTCCGGTCAGGTCATGACCTTGACCTGAGGTCAAATTTTCAAGTTGACCTTTCAAGGTCAAGTTATAGTTCATTCGATGCGTCTTGACGAGAGGAACACGATGCCGGTAAAAGTAAGCTCGTACAAGGCTTGGGTCAAAAGTTATTGCAGAAAAACTGTTTTCGAAAAAATCGGCTATTTTTGCAGTTTTTGCCCCCTGCAGGCAAAACCGTTGACGTTAGGTCAAATCTGAGAGAATTACTCAAAAGGGCGTTAATAGGGCTATCGAATGCGCTTTTCCGCGGCGCTGTAGCTCTATTGGTTCCCGAGTTATGCGTTGGCTTCTTGGAAATTTTCGACATTCGACCTAGAAATCGGCGAAATTTTGCCTTCAATGACCTCTGGTGACCTGACCTTTGACCTAACCAAAAAATTGACCGAAGTGATTTCGTCATTATTTTTGACGCTCTTTCGAACGCCGCCTTCTGCGTATCGCTACGTGGCCCAGGAGCCGAGTTACAAGGGGGGGTGTTCAAACACCCCCCCCAGCAGGGCGTGGAAATCCAGGACCCCCAGCCGGGCGCGGGTTAAAGTACCCGGCGGCCGCTGGGCCTCCGCGCCACCCGCCGGCCGCTGGGGGGGGGGGGGCATATAGTTGCCCCCCTTTACTTCTGCGACGATATCGTCGCAACGCGAAGAGATAATGAAGCGAAACTTTGCACATATCTTCCTGAATACATAGCCGAGGTTGTGTCCAAATTTAATGTCGATTTCATCTGAAATGACGTCACAGTGACGTCATAAGTGAAATTATAGATTTGCGACTCTCCAGTTTCCTCACAATATATCAGATATATGGGACCGTATATAAAGGGCCGATTATTGGTCAGGAACTAGATGGAAGTGTATTTAGGTGTTTCAGGATGACAGCAGGTGCTGTCTAGTTCATTTACAGTTAAGTTTCATGCTCAGCGACATCAGAAACGGTCCGTATAGGAAAACGACAATATTTTATGACGTCACTCTGACGCCATCTTAAGTGCTACAACCACCAAATTTTGCTCAAACATTGCCTAGGTATTCATTTGAAGCTACCTTGAGTTTCACGTTCGTAGCTTATCAGGTTTCCGAGATATTTTGCAAAACGTAAAGGGGGGGGCAACTTTATGCCCCCCAGCGGCTCGTGGGTTAAACATGCATAAGGGCTACAGTCTGACCGTCGAGGACCTCGAGGTGGCCTCTGATGGCCCAACGCCAGCCTCTGAGGGCCCAGCGCCAACCTTAGAAATCAGAAGACAGAGGGCCCCACGTTAACCCGTGCCCCGTAGGGCTACCGGGGGACCCTACCACCCGTAGGGGGGGGGGGGCGTTTCGGCCCCCCCCCCCCCTACGATCTCGGAAAGTTACCGGCCGATTTTCAAAATTCAAACGGCGTTCGATAGCCCCACCCGGGAACTACCTTGTGACCAAATTTCATTGACCTAGGTCAAACCGATGACGTCACAGGTCAGGTCAAAGGTCAGATTTTCACCGTTCACAGGCAATTCAAGAAATGTGCTGTGAAAGCGAGTAAATTGGTAATTTATTGAAAACCATCGATGGTACATTGTTCTTCAAACACATACTTTGCTATCTGAGGTCACTGATACCAGGTCAGGTCACAGCGAGGTCAGGTCACCGGGGGTCACAATATGAATGTGTCGTGTGATACATGTTTTATGGTCCATTTTACATGACAAATGCGATTATGTGGGTTAGGCAGCCTTTGGGGCCAGCCTAGGTCACGTTTTGGTGAAGGTCAGGTCAAGGTCAGGTCAAATTAGGTCAAATTTCAAAGATGATATTTTTGCATAAAATGGGTATTGATTCGATGCAGCTCGTCACGGGGAGTCTAATGGTGGTCTTCGTTTTGCTCTACGAGTTCTAGAATTGCCAAAAATTGAGTTTGAAAATTTGACGTCATCATTTTTGAACAGTTTTTTCGCTATAACTTGGCCAAAAAAACGAGGTATCGATCTGAAATTTGGAATGTAGATAGAAGACGGTAGGCACTATCACATATATTCCGTTTTTTTGAAACTCAAAAAACTTTTTGGATTTTTTGGCGAATATATCCAAAAAAGTGTTTTTTTTTATTTTTGGGGGTCAAAACTCAAAAATTTCAAAAATTCGAGATAGCAGTTTTGTAGCCCTGTTAATTCTACACCTTTTGTGTCTTGATCATTTTTCTGTATCTTTAAAGCTGTAGTCCTGACAGGTCTTCTCGCGAAGGTCTTTTTTCGGTCGAAAATGACAGAACATGACGTCACTCTGACGTCATTTGTGGCCAACCTATCATAGCCTCTAGTAAAATTTTTGGTCACAATGTGTAAAATTGATGCCCGGAGGGGTCCTGAAAGTTTGGTGGCAATATCTCCAGCCGTTTAGGAGGTATCGACCGAAAAGGACAGGGGGGGGCGTTTCGGCCCCCCCTACGGGGCGCGGGTTAACCTAAGAGGGCCTACATTGTCCTTAGCCCCAAGCTGGCCTGTTCTCAGTGGGCCCCAATCTGGCCTCAGAAGACCCCACGCCGCTGGTCTTAGAGGAACCCACGCTGCCCTTATATTGCCCCACGCTCGTCTAAAACGGCTACGCACTGACTTCTTTGGGCCCCACGAAGGCCCCAAAGCGTACTCTAAATGACCATGCTAGCCTCCGACGGCTCGACTTCGGCTTCTGAGGGCCCTACGCTGGCCTCCAAACCTTTGATAGAAGTTTGTTTAGACATGTTTACGGATGCTTAAATGATTAGGCAGGATTTTGGTATACCTTTACCTACGGTATATGGTATGTATGTTAGGTGTGGTGTAAAGGTCCGCTTATACGGTGTATATTAGGTGGTATCTGACATTGTGGAGTCGGGTTTGTCCCCCTTCCCCCAGTCGAAATTCCTTAGCCGAGGTCCTGCTGTGTGACTGTGTCAGTCCTGCTGTGTGACTGTCTGTATCCTACATCCTATCCATCCTAAACACCCTATACATCTGGTGTTTCTAAGTGCATTAGGAGGTAACCGCCAGAGGTCGTACCAGCCCCTCTACCCTCACCGTCCGCATTATGAAAAAGGCCCGGCCAAGGGTAAACATACGTACTAATAACGTTTCTTTATTATCTCATTTTTTTTTGCGAAAAACTAATAACGATAGAAAGTTTCTATATTGGTTACCTGTTTGCGTGCCTGCCAAGCTTGTTTGTCCGGTATGCAGCAATGCGGGTTACATGACAAAACATGTCGTAATACGTAATGACATGTCGTTTTGTGACGTGATTAGACACGACGCTGCACGACATGTCGTAATGCGTACGACGTAACACTACGTACTATGTCACCTTTGTATGATTAGTAGAAACGTAAAAAACTGTAATTCTGTGTTCCAGATGGAGATGACAGATGTGCGTGAAGACCTGGTCGCCCTTCGCCGGGAGGTGTCCGCCCTTCGTGAAGTGGTGGCTGCCCTTCGTGAAGAGATGTCCGCCCTTCGGGAAGTGGTGGTCCCCCTTCGTGAAAAGGTGACCATTCTGAATGAGGTAGTGGCGAAGGACCATTCGGACACGGAGAAGCTCAAGGGGGAGAACGCCGCACTTCACGGTGCGGTGGTCTGCCTGGAGCAGGCAGTTATCGAGGAGCGGACCACTCGCCAGACCGTGGTGGAGGATCTGCGGCAGGAGGTCCGCCGGCGAGCGGCGCCATCCGGCCGTCCCCAGGGGTGAGACTGGGAGGCAGCAGGGGTGGCTGTGGGGGCTGATAGATTTCGGAGAGCTGTCATGGTGATAAGTAAACTTTCTTTGTAGAAGGTGTAAGAAATAAACCACCACTAGGTCTTTGAAGGTCGAGTAGCTTGTAATTGTAATTTCCGCCCAATTAAAGACACATGCCTTGAATTCGTGCCATCTCTTGCAAGTCAGCCGTCTAGTCTCGATCATATTGTTCCAGTTTTCGACAGCCGTCCTGCATAAAGTTGGCCAGTTCGGGACATCAATCTCGCACGTATTTACATGTCTTCATCGGCAATCGTGTCACAAAATCTAATCGGTCGTATCAAATCGTTCACAGTCGTATCAAATCAACTCTTAACGATTTAATACAGCCGAGTAGATTTGACGACATACCATTACTGACGACGATGGTATAGAAATGTTGGTAGGTATATCGAAATATCGAATGAGCCGACAATAAATGCGGAATTGTTAGGTATGCCTGTTTAGTGGATTTATAGACTTTTTTTCTTTTCAGTAGAGCTAGAAAAATGGCCAATGACGTCACGGTACAGACGGAGCCCCAGTCATCGGCAGTCAGTGACGTCATAGTACAGACGGAGCCCCAGCCATCGGCACACAGTGACGTCATAGTACAGACGGAGCCCCAGTCATCGGCAGTCAGTGACGTCACGGTACAGACTGAGCCCCAACTATTGGCAGTCAGTGACGTCATAGTACAGACGGAGCCCCAGCCATCGGCAACTTGTGACGTCACAGTACAGACGGAGCCCCAGCCATCGGTCGCCAGTCTATTCAACACGCTTGAGGAGTCGCTCGGCCTTGTAACCATGACGACGTTCGACGCTCCGTCAGCCCTTGGCGAGGATCAGCTGACGGCGCTCCTGCAGAGTCTTCCCCACTTGGAGGAGCTGACCGTCAGGGTCCCGTCCTTCGGAACGGGGCGGTGGCTGCGGCTGCTGCCGACGTCACTGAGGACGCTATACGTTGCCGGTGAGAAATAGTTGAGGAAACGCGTACTATTACTTCTGAATGGTGATTGGTGAATGGTGAAACATAGCACATATCGTATCGGCTTCAATGATAACTATTCAGCCGACATACGTGTGCCATGCTACCTACATGCTACACAAACATTAGTCACTGTACTCGAGGGCAGCGCTTTTCGAGCAGCGCTGCGGCCCGAAGGTTGGGACTTTGAATTGCGAAAAACGCCCGCCCGCCGCAAAACGCCAACACCGCAAAACGTGCAAAACGCAAGCCGGAAACGCCAACGCAAATATCGCAAGAAAAAAACAAATAAATGCCCGCCAGCCGCGAACCGCAAAAAAACGCAAAACCGCCCGCATCGCACGCACGCTAACCGCCAACTGAAAACGCCTATAAAGCGCCCAACCGCCGCCAACCGCCAACAAATTGAACACCGCAAACGACGCAAAAAAAAAAAACGCCCGCATCGCCCGCACGCCCGCCGCCAAACACAAACACTGCAAAAAGCACAAAATGCCCGCCCGCCGCAGAACGCAAACACCGCAAAACGTGCAAAACGCACGCCCGAAACGCCAACGCATACGTCGAAAAAAATCGCCCACGCAAACCGCAAAAAACGCAAAAAAAGCCGCAAAAAATAAACCGCCCGCATCGCACGCACGCTAACCACCAACCGAAAACGCCTAAAAATCGCCCGCCAGCCCCCAAACGCAAACACCGCAAAAAAACGCCCGGCCGCCGCAAAAAAGAAAACAAACTTCACATAGAAAAGGACGCAAAAACGCCCGCATCAACCGCCCGGCCGCCGCTAAGCACAAACACAGCAAAAACGCCCGTCCGCCGCAAAACGCAAACAACGCAAAAAAGCGCAAAACGCACGCCCGAAACGCCAACGCAATTAAGACCAAAGTGACGCGAGGCGTTACATGTATGTATATGCGTACCTGACAGTAATTTATTAATACATGAAACTGATAAAATATTCCTTAATTTTAGCCCATTTAGGCACTTAACCCGCGCACCGACGGGGGTCTGCGCCAACTTCGTACCAACACAGGGGGGGGGGGGCGGATGACCGCCCCCCTGAGATCTCGAGAACGAAGCATGATAGCGACAAGCGGTAAACGGCATCAGATACGCACGGACAAGGTCTACAATTTTTACTCAGGTCATTTTCAGGTCATGTCAAAGATGACGTCACAGGGGTCAAAAAATCAAAATGGCGGCGCTAGATATGAAGAGTTTTTCTCGAATAACTTTCGAACTAGTCAAGATAGGAACAATCGAAGGGCATCATCGTGATCCTCTCGTCAATCCGCATCGAATGATATATATGTTGACCTCGAAAGGTCATGGTCAAAGGTTGACCTCAGGTCACGTGACCTCGAGGTCATCATGTATATCATTTGATGCGTCTTGACCAGCTGAACACAATGAGACCATCTGCGCGGCTGTATCTTGTTCCTGTACGGAGTTATTGGCAAAAAACCTTTGGTGACCTTTGATGACGTCACATGACCTTACAGCTGCCCAACAGCAAAACAGACCTCAAGGTAGTGTCGGTTGATCGTATATGAAGTCATGTATGGTATATGGGGCCATTCCGACCCGTTTTAGTGGTAAAAACAGGGAGTTGATTTTTCTCCCATTGACTTATAATGGGGAGGTCGAGAAATTGACCTGACCTTAGGTCACCGATATCAAAATTCCGAGATAAAAAAATGTAGCTACTAATTACCTAATAACATCCTGCGACCTTCAAAGGCCTCCGACATCTACTGTAGCTCTGGCACGGTGACAAAGTTGCAAAAAAGCGACTTGAGGTTGGGTCATTCAATGTGACCTGGTGACCTGACCTTAACCCGCGCCCCGTTGGGCTCTGCCAAGCCCCGTTGGGGGGGGGGGCATTTTGGCCCCCCCCCCCTAAGATCTCGAGAACCACGCAACCTAGCGACAAACGGCAAACGGTGTTGGATCATCAGGGAACTACCTTGTTATCTGTTATCAGGGAACTACCTTGTGACCCAATTTTATTGACCCAGGTCAAACCGATGACGTCACAGGTCAGGTCAAAGGTCGAATTTTCACCGTTTACAGGCATTTCAAGAAATGCGTTGTAAAATCGAGTAAAATGCATTTTATTGAAAATCATCGATGGGGAAATATTCTTCAAACACATATTTTGCTATTTGAGGTCACTGATACCAGGTCATGGCACAGAGGTCAGGTCACTGGGGGTTACAATATGAAAGTGTCGTGTCATACATGTTTTATGGCCCATTTTACATGGCAAATGCGATTATGTGGGTCAGGCAGCCTTTGGGGCCAGCTTAGGTCACGTTTTGGTCAAGGTCAGGTCAAGGTCAGGTCAAGGTCAGGTCAAGGTCAGGTCAAGGTCAGGTCAAATTAGGTCAAATTTCAAAGTTAATATTTTTGCATAAAATGGGTATCGAATCGATGCAGCTCGTCACGGGGAGTTCAATGGTAGTCTTTGTTTTGCCGTACGTCGTCTAGAATCGCTAAAAATTGAGTTCGAAAATTTGACGTCATCATTTTTGAACAGTTTTTTCGCTATAACTTGGCCAAAAAACGAGATATCGATCTGAAATTTGATATGTATATAGAAGAGCGCAGGGACTATTACATATTTTCCGTTTGTTTCTAAATTCGGAAAATTTTGGATTTTTTTTAGTTTTTCTAAAAAAATCAATTTTTGAATTTTTTGGGGGTCAAAAACCCAAAATTTTGAAAATCCGAGATAGGAGTTTTGTAGCGCCGCTTTTTGTGTACTAGACCATATAAAGAACTTTGAAATTGCTTGATAACTGTAGATTTGGTGAGCGTTTCAAGATTGCATGTTTTTTGCTCATTTTTGCTCGAGCATGACCTCAGTTTGACCTCAATAACCCGGCCGGGCCCGGGGGGTAATCCCAACCACCGCAGCCCGGGGGGGGGCGTTTTCGCCCCCCCCCCCTGTCTAACTCCGTAAATAAGGGAGCTACGGAAACAAAAGCGATACCAAACGAAAGGTCCTTACGAGACGATTCTAATGCACCTAAAATTTTTGACCTCAGGTCAATTTTCAAGGTCAGAGGTCAAGGTCAAAGGCCAAAACCGGCACATGTGTAGTGATCTCAATATAAGCCTTCTAGAGGACGGCAGGCTGCATCAAACCGAAAAAATTGGGTGTCAAACGAAAGAAGAGAATCTGAGGATTCTGAAAATGTGCTCTAAATTAAAGGTCAAGGTCAAGGTCACGCTCAAAATTGACCTCAAACTTGGCACTTTTTCGCACATCTTGCGTGCTAAATTCTAAGATGTTTTGAAATGTTTTGAGGCTTATCAGTTCCCTATTTGTGGTTCATCTTACGATACAAGGCTGCTCAAAGGTCAAGTTCACAGAAGAGTATCCCTGCTAGAGGCTCTTTCACTGATTCAAGTTAGTAATAATAAATAAGACAATTTTGCCATCCGGAAGCTCTAAATGAAGGCTTAGAGGAAAATAGATGCCAGATTCGTGATCAGCGGGTACAAATCCATCATAAACGACCTTTCATGTGTCAAGGTCAACCAGAGGTCATTCGAGGTCACATGAGGTCAACATGAAACTTGACCTTTTCCGAACAAAATATATATCATTCGACGCGGCTTGACAAGGCGAATGCGATGGTACCACTACTGCCGTAGCTCTAGGACCATTTTTGTCGAAGTTATTTGCGAAAAACTAAAACCACATTTCGGGGTCGTTGACCTGACCTCTGACCTCAGGTCACCAAAACTATTTTTCTATTTTTTTCTAGGTCAAACGCTACACAGCCGTGCTCGTAATTTGTCTTTATCTCTAAAACTCTATTTTTAGCAGCTATTTGAAGTTTGCGTCTGTGACGCCGAAGTTTGCCGTGCAGGGGTCTAGAGAAATGGACGTTGTGACGTCATCAAGGGGGCTAGGTCCAAATTTTTCACTTCAGAAGATGTCAATTGATGGGAGAAAAGGTACTGAAAGTTTCGCCTTCCTATCCCTAAGCGTTCGGGAGTTATCGCAAATATTCGCCAGGGGGGCGAAAAACGCCCCCCCGGCCCGCGAGGGATAACTCCTGACCTAAGGTGACCTAAGACTTGAAATTTGGTGTGAAGGTGTCAAATTGATGCCCGGGAAGGTACTGAAAATTTGGCGGCGCTACCACAGGGGGGGGGGGCAAAATGCCCCCCCCCAACGGGGCGAGGGTTAAAAGTTAGGAGGTTCAAACTTGCACACCATGTGTAAAATTGATGAGAGAATAGCCGTACCAAATTTCGCGGCGCTACGCGCCGCGGTTTTCCCGCTATTCGCGAAAAACCTCAAGGGGGGCCGATATTCGCCTCCCCCCGTCGGTGCGCGTGTTAATGGTGCAATAGAGACAATAATGGCGCACAACAGCCTATTTTATGCCTCGATTCATATGTGGCGCAGCCTGGTTTAGTGCACTACTGTTGCAAGTTTCGAAGAAATCGGCCAGTCGAAATATACAGACGTAATATTCCTAAACTTTAGCCACTTTAGCTAAAGTAGCGCACTAGAGACAAAAACGACGCACATTTTGTTGTATTCGTTGCGCCGTATGTGGCGCAGGTCATTTTAATGCATCAATGCAATGTTACAAGTTTCGTCTAAATCGGCCCATAAAAGGCAAAGTTATGGCTAAAACGCCTTACATTGAGAGTGCACGTGGTCACTCGAGGTGGGGTGCCACGTGCCACGTGCCACGTGCGGCTTAGGGACAAATAACGACCACCCTTTTGTACCACATGAAAGAGGTCGTCAGTGCTCATGGGCAAACTTTTGGGTGCGCCATCATTGCATCCCATTGGCCGATCAAACTTGGCCAATTTTTAAAGGTAGTGCCAGCTTTCCTGGACCGTATGGAGTTAATGGCCCAGATAAGGAGAACCGGATTTTTAGAACTTACCCATACCTTCAAAACTCATGGAAACGTCTTAAATTCTTCAAATTTTGAGTACCCCAG